AAAGCTGGGTTTTAAAGAAATTCTAAACTTTAATGCTCCATAGCATTAATATAATCAAAACCATCATTGTGTATAAAGGATCTAAAAAAGTTTTACACTAAATATTTAAAGTTTTAATGTCAGTAGGTAGAAACAGAGAGTCTGCTTGTACAAATGAACAACAGACTTTAACATTATAGACATAATATGGGCTTGTTCTCCTCTAATACATGGCACATGGGGCAATTTAATCTGGACAAAAGTCAAGTTAAAATAGTAATAAGCAAATTCCAATAAAGTTAAGGCATAAACGATGGAAAATGGAATAATAAATCAAATTTTTACTGTGCACTCTTAATACAGCATTTGCAATACATAATCACACCTGGCAAGTTCATGATACATCAGCATTTGCACCAATTATTCCCATAGCCTATTCAAGCACTGCTGGACAAATCTGTGAGCACATCCTTTTTTTATTTATGAGCAGCGCTGGTAAGCAGTAAAAATACGTAGTAGCAACCAGTCTAACTGGCCCCCTGCCTAACCTCAGCTGTTATCCCCTGAAGCTAAATGGTCTCAGTATGCATGTGGTGATGAAACTAGCTGCTTCTGATCACCAGGACTTCAGAATAAGGAGAACACAGAGGGGTGGGTTTTACAGGCTTCTAAACACTCCTTTACACTCTCTTAATGCACTTTCCGCTCAGTGGACCTAGGTCAAACAACTTTGTAATCGTAAACACTGGATGTGGAGTTATAATGTACCATGCAGCTGTCTAATTCTTGGGAAAAATGTATTCAGGACTCATGAACGGCTAGGAATGACTGGAGAAACAGTTTTCATTAATCTGAGTGCTGAAGGTTTGGAGATAGATTTTCTTAAAAAAAACTGAGCAAGTTTGTATTGAAAGCTTTTGATTTAACAGTTTGGATTCTTTTCTCTCCATGCGTCCTGATTACATGTCAGAATATCTCTGTAGAAATTGCAGTAACAGGGTTTCCGTGTGCTCCATGATTCCCTTTATGAGTTATATAAGTATACAATTTTCTAGCTTTTTAAAGTATCAACACTGTTGCATCTTGGATTAAACAAAATACCATTTTCCATACTCTTGTTTAAGTGTGGGTAAGCTGTGGCGGTCAGGGTATACCAAGGTTTTAAAAAGTAATAGTTATAAAACCACTACAATTTTCCATCATTTGAAGTTTGAAGAGCTTTTAATGAGATTCTGTAGAGAGGGACAAAGTGTTCAAAGTCCTCTACACTGCTCGTCGGATTATTTTAAGTGTATGGTACTGTTTCTCTGAATAGGAGAAATGGCAAATTTGGCTGAAATATTTATAGCGTAATGAACACAAAGATACATGAAGTGAAAACTGAAAGAGCACCACCATTATTGTGTTTAAAAACTACAGTTGGTGAGCTAAAAAGCCACATTTCTGTTAAGCAGAGACTGCAAGATAGCTGAGCAATCTATTAAAAAATGTATTGTCAATTGCATTGAGGATCTAAAATCAGCTTGTTATACTATTGGTATTATTATAAATAAATTAACTACAAAGCGTATCATACTGTGCAAAATAAGCATACTGAAAACTACCACTCATTATACCGGTGTTTCATTCTGTTTAATTAATCTCATTGTCAAATTTAAAACCACAATAAATAACGCACACAGCATTGTTGTTTTAGGAAAAAAAAAAAACAAGAAACAGTTGATCTGTGTTATAAAAAAGCATTTAGCTTTCATCTATGGCAAAACTTTTATCCAATACCCTACTGGTAAAAAGTGGCACAAGAAATAACACTTACTGATTGCCTCTAGGTGAGTCCCTGATTATTGGAAACTCTTTTTGGTAAAGTAGAAAGATGGGCGAATGATAGCACCCTTTCTTTATTGAGATCAATAGAGGAGGACATGAATGGATTTCTTTTTTTTTGTAGAGTTTGTCATTATTTGCTTTTTAGGTTGCACAACAAGTCACGTCAAACAAAAAAGCCACTTTCACAAAACAAATTTTCAGAAGGATTTATTTTAAACATGCCAGCATATGTTAAAACATAAAAAAATACAAGATTTCCAAGTGATGATACCTTGTAATGTTTCAAAACTAGGTTCCTTCCAATTTGAAAGTTGCATTTAGTTAAACTGTTATTAAATTGCAAGCTCAATTCATTGCCCAGAGTTTTTCTGTTCTTCTCCTGTCTTCTCCTAAAGCCTTTGTTGACCAAATGTAATTTTTTTCAATTGCAGCATTGTTAAGTAATATAAGTATATATGTTGCTGAATGTATTTTACACATTTCTATAAAATGTAAATAGATTATTGATTATATTCTCCTATCCTCACCTCATGAAATATACATTTTTCACAGACAAAGACCGCTACCAGTAGGCGAAATAATGTATTGAGTTTAGTGGCATGCAATAAGCCAGTTTCAGGAAAACAAATCTAATTTAACAAATCCAAAACAAATCTAGATATCTAATATGTAAATTAACTTCATGTTAGACCAAACATTGATCCTCTCCACATTCTTATGACAGTTTAAAATTAGATTTTTAAAGTTCTATAAGAATTTAAAATCTTAATTATAAATGACCAGGGTTAAAAGTTAAAGGTGCTGTAAAGACAAGGCCACGGGATTATTATTTTTTTTTTTCATTGACAGAGCTGCTGTAAAAATTACAGACCTATTTTTCCCATGTTGAAACAGCAGAGGACAAATTCTGCCTCTGGTGAAACATTTATTTATACAACTACATGACCATGCCCTGGAATTCTGAAAGTTTTGGTCACACACACACACACACACAATTAATTTTAAATTATTGGGTGTGACCAAATTTTCCACCCTTGCAATGCATAATTACATTCCTCTCCTCTCACTCTCACTTCCTTGCAGCCATGTACTTTTTGTATTGCACTGCTACAGCTGGTTTTATAACAAAACCTAAATCACCCCTTTTCTAGGAAACTTATCATCAGCTACAGTGAGATAAAGAAGGACTGAGGAACCTTGACAGAGTATGTTTTAATGTGCTGAGATAAAAACAGTGGCTTTGGTATTATTGAAGCATGTCTGCCTGAGGCTTTTATTAGTCTGGATTACACAATAAACACCCATAGGTTAAAGATAATTTCCACTCTGCTGACAGAACTGGATAATTTCTTTTGAGTTATGACTTTGCAAACTTTCTTGTGTTGTATAGAAACGCGTGCAGGAGTATCCACACCCTCTCAACTTTTCTAAAATGGTTTGCCAGCATGAACTGAAAGAAAAATAGCACAATAGTTCAACTTTGGTTTGTGAACAATAAACAGATTCTCTATTGAATTTAGGTATGGATTTTGACTTGGCTCATCTAATGTAAAAATGTTTGGCTCTAGAACATACATTTGTTGCATTACTAGAACTTTTCCACTCAGTAAAAAGCTTTCCTGCCTGGTTCTCCTTTATTTAGCTTAATCTGATCTCAACTCAGAGAAAGCAAACACGTTTAAATGTTTAATTTAGTTAAACAGCAAAAATGCACTTAGAACATAACAGTACAACAGTATTGGCTCAAAGAATATACTGGCTTAAGACCAGCAGAAAACCTCAACTCAAAATCATTTTTTCTCCTAGCTATTTTTTTTTCAACTATTAGAGAAACGAAAACAATGAAAAATTGTTACAGCTGTGTCTAGACAAGACTTGACTCATTTGGTTTTTAACTGGATCAAGAAGCAGGATGTGTCTTTTTCAAGGGTCCACCAGTAATAAACAAGGTTCTGACTAGTCATACTGAAATTCCAGAACAACATGACCTCTGCAGAAAGATCAGTCTCCATTTTCCCCTCAAAAGGCTGAGATTAACTGGTTTAGTGTAATAAAGAAATGCATGTGTATGTGCACATTCCTACTTCTCAGATTTATTAAAAGGTCCCATCCTTCTAACAGACATCTTACATTCTTGCTTTTAGATTTGACTCACTTGTAAAAATAAGAAGAATGTTTTTTTATTATAATGAAATAAGTAGATTCAATAAAGGACCTAAACTAAACCTGTATAGCAAGATTTAAAACAGCTACAAATGATGCCCCAATACTAAGAAATTCAGCTTAAGAGAAAGATTGTCAATGATTGTAAAATCAAAATCAGAATGCTACCC